TCTAGATCTGTGTAAACCTAGACTATCTGTATGTCAGATGTCCATGTGTCTAGATCTGTGTAAACCTAGACTATCTGTATGTCAGATGTCCATGTGTCTAGATCTGTGTACACCTAGACTATCTGCATGTCAGATGTCCATGTGTCTAGATCTGTTTAAACCTAGACTATCTGTATGTCAGATATCCATGTGTTTAGATCTGTGTAAACCTAGCCTATCGGTATGTCAGATCTCCATGTGTCTAGATCTGTATAAACCTAGACTATCTGTATGTCAGATTTCCATGTGTCTAGATCTGCGTAAACCTAGACTATCTGTATGGTATGTCAGATCTCCATGTGTCTAGATCTGCGTAAACCTAGACTATCTGTATGGTATGTCAGATCTCCATGTGTCTAGATCTGCGTAAACCTAGACTATCTGTATGGTATGTCAGATCTCCATGTGTCTAGATCTGCGTAAACCTAGACTATCTGTATGGTATGTCAGATCTCCATGTGTCTAGATCTGGGTAAACCTAGACTATCTGTATGTCAGATGTCCATGTGTCTAGATCTGTGTAAACCTAGACTATCGGTATGTCAGATCTCCATGTGTCTAGATCTGTGTAAACCTAGACTATCTTTCTAGATCTGTGTAAACCTAGAGTAGCTGTATGTCAGATGTCCATGTGTCTAGATCTGTTTAAACCTAGACTATCTGTATGTAAGATTTCCATGTGTCTAGATCTGCGTAAACCTAGACTATCTGTATGTTAGATGTCCATGTGTTTAGATCTGTATAAACCTAGTGTCTAGATCTGTGTAAACCTAGCCTATCGGTATGTCAGATCTCCATGTGTCTAGATCTGCGTAAACCTAGACTATCTGTATGTTAGATGTCCATGTGTTTAGATCTGTATAAACCTAGTGTCTAGATCTGTGTAAACCTATAGATGTCCATGTGTCTAGATTTATGTGAACCTAGACTATCTGGATGTCAGATGTCCATGTGTCTAGATTTATGTAAACCTAGACTATCTGTATGGTATGTCAGATCTCCATGTGTCTAGATCTGGGTAAACCTAGACTATCTTTATGTCAGATGTCCATGTGTCTATATCTGTGTACACCTAGACTATATGTATGTCAGAGGTCCATGTGTCTAGATCTGTGTACATCTAGACTATCTGTATGTCAGATGTCCGTGTGTCTAGATCTGTGTAAACCTATAGATGTCCATGTGTCTAGATTTATGTTAACCTAGACTCTCTGTATGTCAAATATCCATGTGTCTAGATTTATGTTAACCTAGACTATCTGTATGTCCGATGTCCATGTGTCTAGATCTGTGTACATCTAGACTATCTGTATGTCAGTTGTCCATGTGTCTAGATCTGTTTAAACCTAGACTATCTGTATGTCATATGTCCATGTGTCTAGATCTGGGTAAACCTAGACTATCTGTATGGTATGTCAGATCTCCATGTGTCTAGATCTGCGTAAACCTAGACTATCTGTATGGTATGTCAGATCTCCATGTGTCTAGATCTGTGTAAACCTAGCCTATCGGTATGTCAGATCTCCATGTGTCTAGATCTGCGTAAACCTAGACTATCTGTATGGTATGTCAGATCTCCATGTGTCTAGATCTGTGTACATCTAGACTATCTGTATGTCAGTTGTCCATGTGTCTAGATCTGTTTAAACCTAGACTATCTGTATGTCCGATGTCCATGTGTCTAGATCTCTAGATCTGTGTAAACCTAGACTATATGTATGTCAGATGTCCATGTGACTAGATCTGTGTACACCTAGACTATATGTATGTCAGAGGTCCATGTGTCTAGATCTGTGTACACCTAGTCTATCTGCATGTCAGATGTCCATGAGTCTAGATCTGTGTAAACCTAGACTATCTTTATGTCAGATGTCCATGTGTCTAGATCTTTGTACAGCTAGACTATCTGCATGTCAGATGTCCATGAGTCTAGATCTGTGTAAACCTAGAGTAGCTGTATGTCAGATGTCCATGTGTTTAGATCTGTATAAACCTAGTGTCTAGATCTGTGTAAACCTATAGATGTCCATGTGTCTAGATTTATGTGAACCTAGACTATCTGTATGTCCGATGTCCATGTGTCTAGATCTCTAGATCTGTGTAAACCTAGACTATATGTATGTCAGAGGTCCATGTGTCTAGATCTGTGTAAACCTAGCCTATCTGTATGTCAGATGTCCGTGTGTCTAGATCTGTGTAAACCTATAGATGTCCATGTGTCTAGATTTATGTTAACCTAGACTATCTGTATGTCCGATGTCCATGTGTCTAGATCTTTGTACAGCTAGACTATCTGCATGTCAGATGTCCATGAGTCTAGATCTGTGTAAACCTATAGATGTCCATGTGTCTAGATTTATGTGAACCTAGACTATCTGGATGTCAGATGTCCATGTGTCTAGATTTATGTGAACCTAGACTATCTGTATGTCAAAGATCCATGTGTCTAGATTTATGTGAACCTAGACTATCTGGATGTCAGATGTCCATGTGTCTATATCTGTGTACACCTAGACTATATGTATGTCAGATGTCCATGTGACTAGATCTGTGTACACCTAGACTATATGTATGTCAGAGGTCCATGTGTCTAGATCTGTGTACCCCTAGACTATCTGTATGTCAGTTGTCCATGTGTCTAGATCTGTATAAACCTAGACTATCTGTATGGTATGTCAGATCTCCATGTGTCTAGATCTGTGTAAACCTAGAGTAGCTGTATGTCAGATGTCCATGTGACTAGATCTGTGTACACCTAGACTATCTGCATGATCTGTATGTCAGATGTCCATTTGTCTAGATTTATGTTAACCTAGACTATCTGTATGTCCGATGTCCATGTGTCTAGATCTGAGTAAACCTAGACTATCTGTATGTCCGATGTCCATGTGTCTAGATCTGAGTAAACCTAGACTATCTGTATGTCCGATGTCCATGTGTCTAGATCTCTGGATCTGTGTAAACCTAGACTATATGTATGTCAGATGTCCATGTGACTAGATCTGTGTACACCTAGACTATCTGCATGATCTGTATGTCAGATGTCCATGTGTTTAGATCTGTATAAACCTAGTGTCTAGATCTGTGTAAACCTATAGATGTCCATGTGTCTAGATTTATGTTAACCTAGACTCTCTGTATGTCAAATATCCATGTGTCTAGATTTATGTTAACCTAGACTATCTGTATGTCATATGTCCATGTGTCTAGATCTGTTTAAACCTAGACTATCTGTATGGTATGTCAGATCTCCATGTGTCTAGATCTGGGTAAACCTAGACTATCTGTATGTAAGATTTCCATGTGTCTAGATCTGTGTAAACCTAGAGTAGCTGTATGTCAGATGTCCATGTGTCTAGATCTGTGTAAACCTAGACTATCTTTATAGCATATTTTCATATTTCTAGCGTTTGGGAATATCTTTTGTTTGGTTCAAGTTTATTTAGCCCCCTTATAAGATTTCCTGATTGGATCAGAAAATGTTTGAGTCACCTGCCTGACCACGTGGGTTTTCTTCAGGTACTCTGGTTTCCTCCTTCCCTTTCTCTATTATCCAGGCCAACAAGAGTTATTGATATAAACTTGTTTCATAAACTGTAGCTAAATAAAAAGTAAAATAATATAAAAAAATGTAGATATTTTGAGATTTTATCATGTGTCTATATTTGTATTAAACAAGACTATATGTTTGTCAAATGTTTCATAAGTCTGTTTTATTTTGACACTCACAGCTATCCAGCTCGCATTGTTTGCCATGGGCTGTACCAGGTAGGCCTAGATGTTGTACCAGTAGTGCAGTTAGGACCTGTAGGTAGCCAGAAGTACATAGTAGTACCTTCAGAACCTGCATGTTCTGTAATAATTGTCCTTCCTGTGTCAGAGTGTTATAGTACTGTAATGTGTCAGAGTGTTGTAGTACTGTAGTGTGTCAGAGTGTTATAGTACTGTAATGTGTCAGAGTGTTGTAGTACTATAATGTGTCAGAGTGTTGTAGTACTGTAATGTGCCAGAGTGTTGTAGTACTGTAATGTGTCAGAGTGTTGTAGTACTGTAATGTGTCAGAGTATTGTAGTACTGTAATGTGCCAGAGTGTTGTAGTACTGTAATGTGTCAGAGTGTTGTAGTACTGTAATGTGTCAGAGT